CGTGTTTATAACACGAGGTTATTATGCTAATCACATGTGTATGACTGTCTATTACTGGAGGCTTGGGTCGTAAACACCGTGCATGGTCGGGGTCATAATTTTCACAGAAGCAAGAAAAAGGACTTCACTTGGCAGCTAAGGGGTTCATATGTTAATATTGACAATTATTTGTTATATTATTTTATCGAAGATATAAAAGAAGAGATTATTTCGAAGTGCTTTATTTCAATGAAGTACAAAATGAACTTATTTTTTAAATATTATTTGTAAAAATAAAGATAATATAGTATTTGAAATAATCCATTATTTCAAATGATTGTTTGCTACTTTATTTGAAATAAACTATACCCAATATTGGTCTGCTGTGTTTTAGTTTTCGAGTTATAAATGATTAAAGAGAATGCTCGAAGTGTCCGCCTCATACCTCAATACAAGCCTATTTTGAGTTTTTATGAAATTCTTCAAGAAGTCCTGCATGGCATGATATGTAGCAGCCTGGAGTATTAATACGCATTTATGAAACACTCTACAACGTGTCCCAGAAAAAGTGTTAGAGCCGAAGAGAGGTGATTCTTGAGGTGTTTCTGAACAACAATTTCTTTTGGTAAAATGCAAAGTGAGGCACGGTCTTTAAATTATTAACGAAAAACACTGATCAATAAAAGCACGTATAGGGCCCGCGCTAATTTTAAGCCACGACCAGAGCGCCATGATCCGAGCCAACCTATCCGTGGCTGTACGCGAGTCCTACGCGTGCTCTCATTGGTCAGTGTTTTTCGTTAATGATTCAAACACCACGGCTCACTTTGCATTTTGGCAAAGAAAATTGTTGTTCACAAACACTTACAGAATCACCTCTCTTCGGCTCTAACACTTTTTCTGGGACAACCTGTATATTCTATTCTACGTCGACAACGCAGCCAATTTTGCGTCCCTCAAATTTTTGTATGTATGAGACAATCAGTGGCTTGAGTTTCACACCACACCGATTATTATTAATTAAAGCACTAAATCAGAATCGGACAACGTGGTCCGAATAATTATTCATTTACCACTCGACGGGTTTCCTAAACTGATTTTGATTCATAGTTGCATAACGTTCATTACTGCGTGCTATCTATTTCCCCGTTCCGTTTCTGTTATCTCATTCCGAACCGACTAAATCCACGTGAAATTTCCTGTTCCTGTGTTATAGCTATGCGTTCATCTTATTAGATAGCTGATAGTTTTCCTTCTGAATAATAATATATCTATGTATGACGACGACTTTGGTGGTCTTAAGGTATGGATACATATGAAGTTGGAATTGCTACGTGTTGCTTCGTTCTAGGAGGATGTTACCCTAACTACGTAAACGGTATACGCGGTTGCTTCACATTAGAATGATTTTAGTGTATGTATGTGTTAAGTTTAAGAAACTTCACGAGTTGTTCTCGGAAGGTAAACTTGTTCTGCTTTAAATGTAGTTTATAAACAAATTAAGCATTAATTATTGTGATATTATGTAAAGAAAAGAATACTTGTGTCAACAAGTAAGTAACAAGTGTAACTACAATGTAATAGAAACCCAACTACGAGCATTACATGTAGATATAAGACGATAAACCGAGAGTTATAATGTATTCTCGTCGACTCTAAAAGATGGAGAAAACGCACACACACACATGCCAACAAGAGAAAATAAATAAATATAATTATAATGAAAATAAATTATAATTAATAAATTAATTGTTGATAATGGTTTTCATATTCCTTATGTATTTCGAACTTCAGAGTCTTTATCAAACAGTATCTTTGACAATTTTTTTGCATCAACATCTGATACGACCTAAAGCATTCCCGAAACAAAAACGAATCGATTAGTGCTTATTAAAGTAGGTTAAATTTTTTTTTAAGTTACAGAAGCACAAACAAACAGACATTCCTATTTTAAGCTTAAAAAATATATTATTTTCTGGCATAGTCGGATAAAAAAGAACAAGTAGAAGCAATTCCTAACTAATACAAATATAAATCAGTGGAATTTTCATCTGTTCCCCAAGAATTATCAGTTACAATTACAGCAACATTAAAAAAGTTTTAAAGTTTTTTAAAGACGGTAACGGAAAGACGAAGTTTCGAAGAAATATTCGATATTTTTGAAATGGTGTGAAACGAAACGAATACTAATTTGAAATTCAACTCGGTGCAAATGCTCATGCAAAAATTCAAATTCGGGAAGGCAGTCGGTCGATCGATCGAACTCGATTGAAGACTAAAGCTGGCGGTCCGGAGCCGAGTACAGCCCAGCGGGTAAGCCCGTTTTGCGTCGCTCGTCCTGCGGTTTTGATATCATTCCTCTTTTTTTCAATTTTGCAGCGAAATGCATTTTTTCCTCCGGATCCGCTGACCCGCACAAATGGGTGGGGTAAATTCGTACGCGACGATCGTGCGACGATTCGTGGTTTTCGATTTTACGCTTTATGTTTTTCCGTTCCTCGTTCCGAGGCGATTTTCTCGTTGTTGAATAATAGATAACGTACGCTCTTGAGCAAATACAGTCTAATGCAGTGTTCCAGGAAATGCAGTGTTCCAGGAATTGTGGTAAAATCAGTCAAATGGTGAATCTACGTGCAAAAATATGTCGAAAAGCAAGAATGACCTTCTTTCATTTAAGGCTTTTAAGATATCGTTTGTAAAATTTAACTGAGCATGTCTGAAGATCTTATGACCCAACAGTTGTTTAAAAGAAGTGCTTATGATCCAACAATTATTTGAAAGAAATCTTAGTTCCAACATAATACAATGAAAAAAGTAAATAAAGTGAAACAATTAAATAATTCCAAAAAATATTCATACAATTTTGTGAAAAATAAAAGAGTGCTAAAAATAATTTTTTCACATAGAAATTTTGAGGCGACTAGATTTATATTTTTATGGTAGATTGTTTTTGTCGCAAGGATTAATCATGAATTTTTTCAGATTTTTGGGGTTTGGTGTAATAAAGACCCAAGCCTTGTTTTTTCTTTTTTTGTTTTACGTGAGGAAATTTTCAAAAGATTTGATACTTGCAATCAATAATAGAAAATAACCATGACGCGGAAAAAAACAGGGGCAATGTCAGTTGTCCTTTTTTCTCACATTCGATTTGTGCTTAAAAACACCGAGGAAATTATAGTTTCTCCTCGATATTAAGGATTAGGTCATAAACAGAAACAAACCGTAGAACACAGTTCTTTGTTCCCTCCCTCGAACCGAGGAGATTATAGTTTCCCCTCGATGTTAAGGATTAAGTCATAAACAGAAACAAACCGTAGAATACAGTTCTTTGTACTCTCCCTCGAACCAAGGAGATTATAGTTTCCCCTCGATGTTAAGGATTAAGTCATAAACAGAAATCCTTAACAACTCTGCTCAATAAACAGAGTGAATGTATTTCTTAATAAGGTATTGAATGGCGTAAACGACGCCTCATTCGGCTCAAGGCGTATTTGACCCCCTTATCCAGCTAGGCCACGGCCGTCTCTAGTACAGGCCGGAACATGTGATATGACAACACCGCACCATCAGACCAACAAGAAGAATGTTTGTATTATGTGCAATGATTATTTTTTGTGATTAATATGAGTTTATTTTAATTTAAAAATGTTTAAATATAATTTATAAATTTAGTGTATCATTGTAATTGTTTAAGTGCCATAAATAATATATTAGTGTGTTGGAAACATAAATAATACGGTAAAAATAACTATAACCTCTGGTTCATATACGACAACATTTTAATGTTTGCATTGTGTAATAAGTATGAAACTGTGATGAATCAGTAGGACTTATGAAAAGCATGTTTTTCGTACATTTTGCAGATGCCAGACAAGTGTTGTATCCCTAATTGTAATAGCAATTATGCCACGTCAAATGTAAGATATAGTTCTGTTTCGTTTTCCGAAAATGTATCATCCCTTCCTGTAATCATTCCTGTATCATTCATCAAACTGTTTTATTTTCAGATTTTAAATAAAGTGCATATTTAAAAGATATGTCTAATATTATTTAATATTAATCCCTTTATAAAACTCCTTCATCCACAAGTAATTATATCTAGTAGGTAATCAGGTACTGTAAACAGTAAATTAGAAGTTATATTTATGTAAAACAGCGAATAATATATCACGTTACTTCCTACATAAATTAAGAGACAATAAGTACTGTGTGTGCGCACATGACAAGTCATATAAGCAGTAAGTGCCCGGCAGTACTTCTATCCTACTGTCGGACTGATCGGCCTGATGATGCGCTGTTGCCATATCACATGTTCCGGCTTGTATTAGAGACGGCCGTGGCTAGACCCTTTCTAAAAATTTCTTATTCATCTCCGATAATAACAAACGCGCATAGTGTCGCGTGCATCACGTGACAAGGATCGCCTGCTAAAGGATAGTAGTGTTGTAATTCGGGCCGGGTTTTCTCGTGCATGCGTAGCATTTTCAGTAACGTATGTTAGCGCTCACTTATTAGAGCCCAAGGGGTCTTAGACTACTGAAAGTAATATTGGCGGGAAAAGACCGAAACGAAGACTGTTGTCGGTAATATTGACGGGAAAAGACCGAGACGGAGATAGTTATGGGTAAAATTGATGTTCAGTTTGTAATCATATTTGCAAAATTATGCAGGGCGATCACGGCGCCCCTATTTTATTTAATCGTTACTGATGTTGAAATGACCGCGCATGCGCGAGGAGACCCGGCCCAAATCCTAACTCTGTTGGAGAGGGAATCGAGCTAATATGCTGGCGGAAGGGGTACGTAGGGGACCATGGTGGGGGAAGTGTTGTGCACTTTTCTGGCAACGATGACTGTGTTGCTGTCTATTGCTACTCCATTGCGGACTCCAGGCTCAAAGACATTAACTGTCATTCGAAGACAGCAGACAGTACACACAAGTGCAGGACCAAAGTACGGAACGAGAAGTACGAGATTAGATCGATTTGATTTGATTTGATTGTACGATCGTTTAAAATGTCCGTCGCCGAAGAGAGGATTCAAGAATTGAACAGACAGTTTTTGGAATTCATGGGGAAAACCGAGAATGTGGAATCGGCTACGAAAGAAATGTACGAGGATATCCTCGACGAGGTATTAATGGGTTTCGTTTTCGATGTGCATCGAACCACAAAAACTGGTACCTTAAATGTTGAAGAAGGAATACCTGAAGACGAGTCGTACGCTATCGTAGGTAAGCGAGACGATTGAATGATGGTTTTAATGTACAGACGATCGGTCGTTGTCCTTTCGATGATTCAGTTGATTGTACGATATGTTACAGATTCTCCAGGATTAGACGTGTTCGGTCAGCAACTTGTAAAAAAATCGCAGGAATGCAACTGTCCGAATTGTGACAGAAGCGTTGCGGCCTGCCGGTTCGCAACGCATTTAGAAAGATGCATGGGCATGGGCCGGAACAGTTCGCGGATCGCATCAAGGCGTATAGCAAAAAATACGAAGGACCTCAGCAATTTCAGTGGAGTCACAAGCGACGACGACGACGTCGATTGGAGCTTAAATAATAACAAGCGTAAGCGTAGGAAGAATCGTAATGGAATGAAAAGGACGAAACAGCAGAAGAACAGTCAAAGGAACGGAGAGATTGCGAACGAACATGTTCACAGCATTAACGGGAACTCTCCGTCGAATTACGAGAACATGTTGCTGGAGGACAAACGATTTCTACTGACCCAGATCTGTGGCGTCATATCGGAACATACGAAAAAGTTGTGTACGAGGTCTATGAGGTGTCCGAAACACACGGAGGATCAACGGAGAAAGATGAGAGCTAATTTGGAGTCTGGAAACAATGGGCAGTATGGTCAGGATAATCTTTACGTTGACGTGGTCACGTACGAGGAAGGAGACGGACAAAATCTGAAGGAAGCTCTAGCGCGTTGGGATCGCGAAGGATCGAGTCGTTCGAGTCCCACAGATTCCACGTCCACTACCTCGACCTCGTCGATAAGCAGAAAATAGACGACCGAGACGAAAAGCAAGGGCAAAGGATCGAAACGCGATCGCGGATCGCCCATTTGGCAAGGAGATTAAAATGATTCGCTTGTTTTATTTATTCATTTCTTGCGTTTTCCCAATAAGAGTTTTATAACGGGCGTAGTTACATGACAATAATGTTTTTATGCATTGTACAAAGCTTCGAGAATATATTCTCCATTATATTGAACGAAGATATCTTTTAATCTACTCGTAAATCCCACAGACGACGCGTTTCAAGCGGTAAATGTACCTGTACATGTACATATGTGTATGAGAGATCGTTGTCAAAGATTGCGTCTAATGTAACATCGTCAAACTTTTGTTCCAGAACGTACGTCTTTTAATTCTTCTTATATTTTTCATCTGTATATCTGTCTTCTTAGTTCAAATTCGCAACCGTCGATGATCATGCGACTATTATACTTTCGTTCAATGATTGTAAAAATAACACGGTACGATAATAAATTTTATATGCACAAGCTTGGGACGTACTAATTCCGGCGACTCGTTTTTTATTCCGTTTGTTTCCCCTAGCGGTAGAACGTTAAAAAATTGTACATAACAAACCTATCGCGCCTAGTGAATCTTCTCGACAGCGCTCGTTGAACAATTTTGAACAATTTGAACATCGCGTCATACCTCTCCTACTCCTTTTACCTCTTATACATATATGTATATCAACATATTCTAAATCTAAGTCTAACATTAAATCAACCTAGTCTTTCTCGATTTTCGTTTTTCTATGCCCTACATTTTTAATATATTATGATTACTAAGTAACAGTTAAAATTTATTGAATTATTTTTAATTTTGTTTTTATTGTAAAAGCTGTAAAAGTACAGTAAAAGCCACAACAGCAACTTTCTGAATTGTGCGCAATTGACATTCTCATTCGATTGCAGCGCGCAGCGACCAAGTAGCGACTTTTATAATTACAACTGTGGCAAATAAGAGCCGTACTCTCACCACCAGAGTTTCCCGACCTGTGTATACGACCGTGGCCGTGACCTTACGCGATGCCCCTTGCATTTGTCTTTTGTTCAGGTGCGTAATATAATATATTGTCAAAATACATCACGTAGCAAGCCGATAAGCGCATCAGGCGCATGCAGGGTGCTCGTAATTTTTCACAGGCGGCTCGCTTCCCCTCTTTTTCGCCCGCATTTCGAGCCCCACTACTATTCCCCTCATGCGCCTTCGCTGACCATGCCTAGCATACCCCCATCAAGTACCAGACCCCACCATGGTCGCGTCGTCCCCACTTTCCGGGCCTGTGAAAAATTACGAGCACCCTGGGCGCATGTCCATGGGTAACGTAAGCGGGGACTAAATACAGTAGTGGGAGTCAGCACGCGAAGAGAAGATAGAAAAATCGCTCAATCTGGTAACGCTGTCAGCAGGACAAAGCTTCTTCGTAAAAATTGCAGAAGGGGCAAAAAATTAAGAGTAGAGGGGGTTGCATTTTCCAACAAAGAAAAAACTGCGAAGCCCAGCCAAAATGAGCCATGTGCTGTGACAACCAGAAAGTTTCCTTTAATTATCTCGAGACCTTCGAATCGTGGTTTAACTAATGACTCCCAAATGTTAAAAAACCGATACCTTCAGCAGGGTACGGACAAACAGGGTTCTGCCATAAATTCTACACACAGTTAAAAAATCCTAAGAACGCGACAGTGAAATATGAATTTCTATTTCCTAAGATAAGTACTTCTATCGAGATACCCGAGGTGTTTTATAATTGATTGAACTATGTTTTAAGACTCATTCCTAACCTAACCTAATCTAAATGTTACATAAACACCTATTTGATCCAATATTATTCTCAACGAGGCAATAACAATGACATTTGTGACGAGTCAGCAATATGAACGTGCCAGCAATCGTTTCATTTCAATGAATCAACGAGGAAAGGGAACAGAAACCATTTCCTCGTACGTCGTGACGCGAAGTATAGGAAGCACCGGGGAAAGGGAAAACAAACGGTAAAGGAACCGTATCTCATAGTTCAAAAAGTCGGTAGCAATTGTTCGGTTAAAAATCGCGTCCAATTTAATCCCTGATCTTAATTTTCCGTCTGCGTCCGGAGGCGGTTATAATGGGGGAAGCCGCGTCACGCTCGCACCCAGTGTGCGATGTGGGACGACAGAATGTTTACAATAATCTGAACGGGGAATCTAGATCTATAGAAATGGAAGAGCAAGGAGGGAAGCGAGGGAGACATGCGCGGATTGTTGGCTGGCTCCATTTTCCATTGTTCGTGTCTGGGCGAACGCGCTGAGATCGCGCGTTTCTTCTTACATCGTACAACCTCGTGCAGCGGAAAACTTTTATAGCAGCGTCGTGGTACGCTGTGAAGAAAGCTTGACGATAAAAGAGCAGTTAAGCTTTCGGGAGGGAGAGAAACAATAGCGACTAGGGAGAGATTGAGACGGAATAGCGGAGATCGAATCCCGGAGTAGGAAAGCTCGGCTCATTCGCGGAAACCATTTCTTTTAGAATGAAGCGCGAACAAAACTTGTTGCTGTCTCTGTCGAAATGATTGGCATAGGTATACTCGGTCCAAAAGTATTATGACACTTAAAATCTAAAGAAATCATTACGATACGATAAAGATCATCATGAATTATTATTAAGTTTATTACTTTGGACTGTGAAACATTAATATATTCTATGTTTTAGTAGAAATTCTCACCAATTACATATGTACAATAAATAGACCCTCTCTTCACAATCTCAAACGTTGTATCACTTAAAAAGATAAACAAATAAATAGATTCAGGCGGTTGTTAATTAATATTATGTTAATTAGTATATATGTTAATTAATAAAATAAATATTGGCCATGTTAGATCGTAAACGACCGTCATTTAGGGAAGGGCAATCAGCAAGCAGTCGCATGCCGGAAAATGAGTTTTTTACGTTTTCCGGATGATTTATGACCGTGCCCATCCTGAAGCCGTTTTGGGCCTCCTAAATTTTCCCACATCTGGGCACCAACTACGACAATCGTTCTTTCAAAAAGACAAATACTTAGCTTCTGATTGGTGCGGCTCTGGCACCGTTTTGCCAAAAGTTGTCCGATTGGCACGGCTGTGGCAGAGCTTTTTTGTATAAATTCAGCACAGCCAGCCGACCAAGAACACCTTTCGTACAACTGCGTTACGAACGTCACTCTCATACGACTGCGTTACGACAATCTTGGAAACTCGTGAGTTCAACACAGTGTTTGGAAGAACTTATTATACACCCAGGGACAATCAATAAAGATTTCCTGAATTCAACTATACAGTCCACTTGTGTGTATTTATTCCTACGTCGTCTATCCGTCGCGAACAACCGTCGACGCAACGACGCTGTTATAGGCCTTTTCGAATATTCTTATTTTCTTGCACAACACCTAGTAAAATAATGAAATGAACTATTGGAAATGAGAAGTGTTATCGTAATACATGTGACTTGATATTGGAGAAAGGAACTACTTGCTTTAAAAAGAAGACTTTAGAAAGAGAACTGTAGAGAAACTGTTCCAGTTCTTAATAATAAATGGTTGAGACCAGAGGTGAGGAACCTTTCTACCACTAGTTACCACATTTACATTAGGCAGTAATAAAGGAGACCACTATCATTTTTTACATTTCACTGTTGTTATTTTTATTTGTTTAAGCACATATATATATTCATCCAGATCTTTAAATTTTAATAAACGACTACATATTTAAATACCACTTCAAATAGAAATAATATTAGTAGACGAATTTTTACATTTTATTACTTTTTAAAGGAACACAATAGACAAATAATATTATTAAGTTATAAATAACTAACATAGCAATAATACGGTCAATAAGTTTAAAATCTGATAGAAAATTTAAGTCAGTAGGATATTTGCATTTGTTTCTTGCTTGAAAGTAATTAAAAAATAAATAACATTTGAAACCGTATAAGAAGGCCGCACGTTCTCCACCTCTGGTTTAGACCGTTAGACTTAAAATTATATCCGACCGCGGTGGCAGCTCCTTTTCCTAATATACATAAATAATGCTCGTAAACCGCAACAAATTTACGGGGGAGTGGAACGACGTTAGGGATGATACGGGAGCGAGATGATGTCACGGAACAAAACTGGAAAACGGGCCGCAGCGTCGTCGGTGGCAACGTTTCGGGCAGCCCAGGGCTGCATTTAAAAGTATAATTTTAAAATGGCGCCGGTGAACACACGAAGTGGCTCATAAGCATGATTTATGCGCTCATTTCCCTTTCTTTTTCCTTTGTCTAGTGTCTCTCTGTTTCTCCAAGCTACTTTTATTAAAGAATCTTCCCCTTACCGGGGAGACGTGGGATGGGTGGTAAATTTTTTGTTTTCCGTGGAACCTAGACGGTCGGCAGTCCCTCTCAACTTCCGTTTGAATTCGTTAACGTCTGGATTTTCATCTCCTTTTTTCTCTGCCAAACTTTCCACTGCCGGACAACCATCGATTTCTCAAGATAATAATACCCATTTTTTAGGACTTGAGTAAGTACTGTTCAATTCAAATCTGATTAATTCAGATGTTGCAAATGATTTAAATTTTCCAAACAGAAGTGTAGTAGATCCAGAGAGGATCAAAAAATTACGATTTATGTCTTCGTTTCTCATTAGGAATTTACTACAAATGTTCGCCACATTTAAGGTACAGCAATAGCTCGCAGTTAAATTCCGGGATCAAAAATTAGAAAATTGGCTTACATACTTAAATCTCTTTCTCAATGGATCTGACCATTTTAGAAACCGAGTTCCTAGTGAATGATAGACTGTCGTTTCAAGAATCATTCCTCTTCGGTTTCTAACCAGCTCCATTTCAAACGTAATTCCAACATTCACGTCGGCTACATTGACTTGGTTACGTTGACGAGGGGATTGGAAATGGTCCAAGTGGTTTCAGGGATGAATCCTTCATGACACAGAATTGCTTCATTATTGATTTCGGTATTACTGATTCATTATTAGAACTGCGGACCATAAATCTGGTTGGTGAATTTCAGGAAGATAGTAATTTT